CATTAAAAATACATTCAACCAATCACAATACACCATTTAGCAAGACACAAGAAAGTATTTTATAAACACTACCAAAAAAAAAAAGGAAGTATTTTATAAACAGCTGCACTATTCATGAATCCACTAAATATTTACACTCAAGCTGAACAGCTGTAATGTTTATATACCAATTACCAAATTTGTATGCAAGCAAAAAATACCACTAATTTATTTCTACTTATGAATCGTTTTCCTCAACTAGTGCCATGTTTGATTTTTCAGAATCATTGTTAACGTCCACTTGTTCCCCCTTGGATGAACAGGCATCATCCTTGTCTCCTTGTAATTCTTGATCACTTATAATCTCTGTTGTGTCCACTGAGGATTCATTTTCATCGCCATATACGGTTGCATTGACACTAGCTTTATCTTGAGCTGTTTCGTCATCTAATTCTTCAACCTCGTCTATCACTTGTTCTTCTTCTGGATCGGTTTCTTCAACTAATGTTATGTTTGATTGATCAGAATCCTTGTCAACTTGCACTTGTTCCCACGTAGATAGATGAACAGACATCATCCTCGTCTCCTTGTAACTCTTGTCCACTTACGATCTCCGTTGTGTCCACCGAGTATCCATTATCATATTGTCTCCTCGTAACTCTTGATCACTTACAATCTCTGTTGTGTCCAATGAGTATTCATTATCATCATCACAAGATAAGTTTGTATACTCAAAGTCTGCGATTTCCGAGCCAACAACGGCCTTATCTCTCGCAGCTAGAATGTGGAACCAGCAATAAGGACAGTACGAGTTTGCAGGATCCTCCTCCTCACTACTATTACTACTACCCAACTCAGCATTCAAAGATTCTTCGTGAAAAGAAACAAGACAGCCAAGCCCAAATAAACCGGAGACACATTTATTTGGAACTGAGTTATGCAGCATCTCAGATCCTCCACTAGCAGTCACAAGATAATGACGCTTCTTGTGTGGAACATTTCTTTTATCAAAATCTATAGAGCCAAATCTTTTGTCCTGTGAGAGAAATTATGCAGAAAATACACCAACTTCGGAGCTTCTTGCGAGTTACAAAATTAAAACTCCACAACAACTACACACGAAATGTAATAAACACAACTGGTTAAACTAAAAAGCTTAAGGATAAAACGGTCTAGTGAGACGAATTTAGTCAAGATTCGCGAATCAGAAGTTTAACAGTTTTAATTCAGCAACCAGATTAAGAACCTAGTGAAACTCTGAAGAGTCAAAATCGCTACATGAAGCAATCGAAAGCATAACCTCTAATTTCTCGATTTCAACAAACACTTATCGACATAACTCTTGTCCAATTCTTGAAAAAGTATAGCTAGTGTTACCTTGAGCATTGAGTATCCATTATCATCACCAGATAAACTTGTATTTACTCTTGTTTGATCTTGAGCTGTTTCGTCATCTAATGCTTCAACCTCAGACTCTTCGGTTTCCTCAACTAATGTCAGGGTTGATTTCTCAGAATCATTGTCAAGTAGCACTTTGGATGAACAAGCATCATCCTCGTCTCCGTGTAACTCCTCTTGATCACTTACAATCTCCGTTGTGTCCACCGAGCAT